GCTCAAAACATAACTCTGAAAAAGGCAGCGTTTGTTACAGAAACTATTATGAGGACATATGATATTCCAGACCACCAGGACACCCCTCACTCACACGCACATACTAGTATACTGTGAACTATAGAGCATTCTGTCATCTAGCCACAGAATGCAAAATGTCCACAAAAAAGAATAATGCACACAATTAAATATTTTATATAAACCTAAATCACTCCCATATTTGAAATGTCTGCCAAAAATGTATGTTAAGAAGTAAATACTTTACTGTATAATAAGGCCAATTCATACCATCTTTCAACATACACAAAGTGCTTTACATTGCATTATTCATCCAGTCTCCAAATTCAAGGCAAACCACTGTAGCCACAGATGCCCTGGCATTGAATGACAGAGGCACTGCTGCCAATCTGTTTAACTGGCCTCTCCAAGTGCCAACAATCATACTTATATGATGGGTAAAATTTCTAGCCCAATGACATAACAACATGGGTTTAATGATGGATGGGAGTTTGCATGTTGTCCTAATGCCTACATACAAGAGACTCCTTTGAAAATTGGATTTCAAAGCTCAGTGGCTAAAATTTATGAGAGAAAAAACAACAACAAAAACAACAACAACAAAAAAGTATTAAAGTCTGAGCTGGGGTCTAACCACCAAACGTCCAGGTATGGGAAGACCACTGTACCACCTAAGCCACTGCTGCCCAGCAACAAGCAACATTCACAACACTGGACTGAACTTGATACTTATACATGAGGAGGCACCTTATCAAAGAGTGCTTCTCTTTTACTGCTCACTGCAAATTACATTTCTCAAAATCACATTAAAAAGTTTAATGTAAGTATATAGAGAATGGAGACCAGAGTACAGTGGGGAGTTTCAGCTTCAGCAGTCAAAGGCAATATACATATCTACTGCATACTGAAAACTCTTGTCTGTGGGTTGTGCTGGTGATTGTTTCTTGGCCAAGACTAACCCGAAAAAGAGTTCTGTAATTCTGAATGGGACCTTCATGGTAAAATAAAGGTTAACTGACTGAAAAGGCACAGTGTTGTGAGTGATAAAAGTGTCACATTTCCCTTCCTCATGTATTAAGATGATGAGAGAGTAATTACCAGCTGCTTTATAAATGCAGGTTGGGTTTATTATCAGGTTTCTTTGTATTGAAGCTCAAGTTATGAAACATAATCTGACTACTGACAGTTTTAAAGGTATGCGCAGGTAACAGTAAGTATCTAATAATAATAATAGCTATAGGCAATGTAGCAGAGTGTAAATGCTACTCCTTCAATAATTTATATCATGCATAAAGACAATGTGATATGTTCAAACTCGCTGATGAGGGTTGTTGCTATGTAGTTTTGCCTCCTTTACTCATGGGTTTCAACGTCCAGTTATATGCAACATTTTTTCAAAAGATATGATATTTAGTTTAAAATTGTTAATCACTGTGCCAACAATTGTAATTTTTTCATGGATGTCTTGTCATGGACAGAAAAAAACACTGAATGTTAGTGGCTCTAAAAGTACTGCTTGGGAATAGATTGTGCAAGATGGATGGATTGGCCTGAACTCACTGTGAGATGGAGCTTTCCCTTAAGGCTGGTTTATGGTCAAATCACCGCGGATGTCCTGCACAGCTCCCCAACACACTTGACATCCAATCAGAAAATTTGCAGTGCTTGCTGTGCTATGCACGTGCCGTGTACGTGCACCTCGGCCAAAATGTTGCTACAAGTTAAATTTCTGCCGAATACAGGGGCTGTGATTGGTTAATACACAAAGAATATTGACGTCTGACCAAAAAACACCTGGGAACGGCTAGAGCTGAGCACAGACATGTCTGCATATGAGCCTAGAGTGACTGTTTATTGTCTTATTACCCAAATAAATACAAATTAAATCATTTAAATTCTTGCGATGCACGTGGACCCCGTTTGTTTCCTCAGAAGCTCATATGGTTCAGATCTGCATCAGGGCAAGGGATGCACAATCCAGCTTTTTCAGATCCGACAATGTTATCTATAATTTAAGTTTAAGTTAACAGTGTTGAGATGGAAAACGTTCCTTATTTCCTTAAAACGCAGGTAACCTATTACACAAGGCATATTTATCCTTCAAATAACTACTGAACAGATGTGTATGCACAAAAAGTCAAAAGCAGTCTTAAAATAGTTTTATTACATCTAATTAAAGACTCAATCAGGATATCTGTGTAACTGATATCATGGAAGCAATACCTGATCCTGCAAATTTTTCAGTATCGGCATCGGCACAATATTCAATATCAGTACTGGTAGTGGTACTGAATATATGCGGAGCATGCTCAGCTCTCAGCTGAGCTGGGCTTGATGTTGAACCATAAACCAGTCTTCACAACACAAACTACTAAAGATGCTCGTGCCTGATAAAGAGCTCCAAAAAATCACTATCATTGATCAGTTTATGGTACTTCTCCTGGGTGATTGTCTCCACGCTAACATGACGGTCAGTTGTCTCACTTTTTATGACATTTCTATCTCTCCTGGTCTAACTTCTCTCAAACATGGATTTTCATTAAATTCTTAACCACACAAAACACGAATTTAAGTAGAAGTCTATTGTGACATGTTTGCTTCACAAAGACCAGTGCATTACTATACTAAAATTAATTTCTCTAGTTCTATCTGTGGGTAGAAGCCTTTTTTTGTTTGTTTTTGTTATTTAAGTACATTCTTAGGTCTCTAGTAACTTATAATTTAATATAACATTTTCTGGTGACTTTTTTTTACCATAGTAACTATTACTTAATAATAAATAAATAAATATCTGTACTTTGTAGCTGCCTGCATATAAGCTCCTCAGGAAAGCTTTGGGGCAGGATAATATCAGCCAATATTGTCACAAAGACTATCCTTTTATGCAGCCTTTATCATCAAGAGATAAGAAGTGAACAGGTATAAAACGATCCAAATAAGTTCCAACAAATACCTCTTTACCACTTGATTAAAGATTATTTTTACATAATTAATTATAAAGCCAATAATTCAACTGATCCAAATTGTTAACATAATTTTTACATGAACTGGGATACTTTTGCCTTTTTTCAATCTCTACAACTCTTTGTCTTTGTTTTATTGACACACAGTGAGAGCGCACCCTCCCCACTGTACGGACATACCTCCTCTGATTCGCCCTGTCTTGTCTTCTCCCCTGAAGCATGACGGAAGTAAGCACACTGCAGTAACACAATGGAAGTTTTTTATTGAGACGCCGAACACATTCACACATACACAAAAACACTCACACACAGAGACATGTAGTGATCAGGGCACCTGATAGAACGCACAGTGATGCTATTGTATGAACATCCAGAAGGAGGGATTCAACAGATGTCAGTGCTGACAGATGGGTGCACAAGAAAATGCACAGTTACAATGGGGCACACACAAACGTGCAGCTATTATCAGTCAAACGGAGTGATGTCACAGTTGCGCAAAGCTTTGGAAGCTTAGTTTGTGAAAAATTTTGTCATAGCCAGAAGGTATTTATTCTTGTATGGTTCTCAGTGTACTCTAAACAAAGTTCTTCCAACTAATGCTAAGCACCAAGTATGAGGATAAAACAAAGTACTAAGTACTTGGTGTAATAAAGTACTGCAAGTTGTGATTATACTAGAAGTTGAAATTTACAGTTGACTCACAAAAACTCTGCAAACTCTACTGTCCGATTACACTTCTCATTGTACAACCTGTTTTATTCATTCAGCTACTGTATCTCTGTGCCAATACATCTTTTGCTTTGTAATATGATATAGTCTTAGGTATTATGCTTACAGACCACTCTTTGGGCCTGCTAAGGTCCTTAAACAGTTTCATGCTGCACTAGTCACACAATATTCAGGCCTGTGTCAAATAGACAGGTGCAAGCACTAACATTGAACATTTCAAGAAATACAGATTGTTTCTTTGAGTAACCAGCATGATCAGATACACTTCCATAACATAATCACTGCATGTCATCAATAGCTCAAGTTTTATATTTTCAGTAAGAGTAAAATAGAGAAAAAGCTGAGTAAGCCAAGTGTGAACAGAATTCTGCTGTCCACAGTGATCGTCCACTGTGTTTTGCAAAATATAATAAAAAATTATCTAACATGTTCCAAAGTTGTGTTTGAAAGGTTTTATGAGGACTGACTTTAGTCAGGTGTAGCATAGAACGATTGCAGGTAAACTGTAATAATAAGACATTTTTAGTGTGGGTATAATATCTAAAGATATGGTTAATGCAACACGTACATTCACTGCACCTCTTCAATCAAGACATTTTATAAATAATGTTGTACAGGTAAAGCTCAATTAGAGACCACTTCCTTGCCATACAATGGACTTTTCTGTTTTTCCTTTCAGCTGAGACACTAAGCAGATGACTTCAAACAAGGCCAGGTGGAGGTTCCTTGTTGCCTATAGCAGCTCCTCATACACATCAAGTTCTTTGTGACTTAAGTTTGCCACACAACAACCTACAGACATGTCCATTTTGTATCCATCTTTAACTCTATTGGTGATTCCAGTTCAAAAAAGGATTCTCAGTAGCAGTATTCTCAATGCCCACTGCAAAAGCCAGCTCAATCAACAAATGGATACAGCTGTTATAAAAAACCTCTTTCATCTGATGCAGTTTTTAAAATCCCCTGGACACTTCAGCTCAAACACAATAAGGAGCTGAACACTTGTGCAACACTAAAATTGGGCATTTCTGGGGAAGGGCTCATGTCGAATACAAATCCAGAACAAGGCTGTTCTCTTACATTCCATGCACCTCCATGTACATTGTTCTGCTGATGAATGTGCGCGGCACATGTGTGGACAGTTGTTCTTCATGCGTGTTACCACGGTTACATGCCTGTTTGTGATGGCTGCTTTGGATCTCTCTATTGGCACCAGAACAGTCAGAACAACAACAACAATGCCAGTACATCTGTGCCACCTGACTGTTGCTCAGAACGGAGAGTACTCACTGCTTTGGACGTTAACAGTGCCAGTGGAGTTGTCCTTCCCCAGCGAATTCTCCACCACGCATGTGTAATTCCCAGAATCCTCCAGTTTGGCTTTGCTGATCTGGACTCGGGAGTTTTTCCTGTGGGAGACAACACTTACAGAGCTGAGTCAGGGGAACAAGGGCAGGGAGGAAATAGCAACAAGCGAGAACATAGGGGACAGAGGGCAGACGGCAGCATGGCAACAAGTGCCTTCATGGGACACTGCGCTCAGTCAGGACTGAGAAAGAGCTATGCTAATGGACAGTACTTAGCTCACTTTCCCTGATATTTAAGTGTATGCCATGTATTTCTCAAAATCAAAAACTAATAATCAACCACTGTGGTTGAACTGATGAAAATATTTGTTATTATTTTATTTACATACATGCAAAGTAATTGCATTTCTAATAAAATTTAACAAACCTACTTTACAGGTATTCATCTTGCTGTTGGTGATAATAAAGCTGAATTAGGTTTGTTTGGTTTGAATAATGTCAAGTCATGCACACCTACACAGTTGCCAGTTGGTGGAGCAATGCCTGAAATGATGTCACATAAATACATGGAGCAATAATAACACCAGACTAACAGGACTTAGTCAAAGATTCAGAAAAATACCTTTCAATCACAATTTCAAAATACTGGATCCAAGCATGAGCACCTGTGTAGGTGGGCTGTGGCTTTGGAAGGAAAATTCAAACAGAGACAGTTGCTATACAGATTTTGTATAAACACTTCCTAATCTGTTGTTCCCATGTTGACAATACAAGGTTAGATAATAAAAAAGCTATTGTCTTGCCTATCATCTCTTTAACAAACACACAAAGAGCCACTACAAAATCTATGACATTAAAAACCCATAGATGGATTGATGTACACAACATGTCTGATTTGTACTCACTGGCTGTTCTTTATTCTGACATTTTTGCTTTTCTTGAGCTCGTTGCCGTCTTTGAACCATCTGTAGGTGGGGGGAGGGTTCCCTGTAGCCTCACATTTTACTGTGAGCTTGCTCCCCTCGTCCACTATTGATGGATTCCTCATTCGTTTTAATTTTGGTGGAGCAGCTGAAAGAAAGAGAGAAACTCATGAGTATAAGCGAAATGTGTAGAGTGTTGTAATTGAGAGGTCTGGGAGATTGTGTGAGAGCAGATCACAATCATCTCTATGGGCTGAGCTGACAAGTGTCTCTGCGACCACCAGATGTTGTCACCAGAGACACTCCACTGGCTAGAACTAATAACACTCAGCATCAGTCTGGCTCACCACAGCACATCTGATGCAGTCAATGGGGAAAGAACAGTAATACTCCAGTATGTTCAGCTGCCAAATTAATCACAATCAAAACTAAAACCCTAAAACTAAAATAAGTAGCAAATCACAGTTTAAACGATATACGTTAACACTGCTTAAATAAAATATTTGGTTTTCTGAGTATCACCAGCTATAAACAAAGGCTATAACAGGACTATATTGGGCACAAACTAGGTCAGAATAGAAATAAAATATGACAAGTAGTATTAAATTCTGACCAATAATAATGATTTAGGTGATTTATTTTCTGAGAACTAGATCTAAGACAGAAATACAGTCACGTTAATATTTGTAAGCTTATCCACCATTCTGAGAAGCAAGCAAAGCCTGGATAAAAAAGTGCTGACTCAGCATCACTCATAATCATAGCCAAATCAATTAACAGGGAAAAAGGTGAATACAATAGATATAGATAGGATCAGCAATCATGTAATTTGAAGACACAGCTCTCCAACGCATCCATACAAACTGGGTTAACTAACAGCTGCAAACATCTAAGAGAAATATTTGTTTAGGACAAGGAAAAACAGGATGAACAAGGGTGAAATAAGGTACTCAATATGATCAGTGTACTCTTCATATTACAGATAAAAAACAGGCTTTAATGCCATACATACTACTAAAGCGAACATGTAATGATATATTTTTATATTTACTTAAAAAAAATACATCTCTAATGATTCTGTTCCTTTTTTGAGCCTGTCCTAGTTTAATGACCTGGTAAACGTGGCAGGTCTGCGTAAGAACAAAAAAAAACCTAGTGATCGTGCATTTTCCCTTTGGCCTATGAATTAGCATGCACAGTCCTGATGAATCTGCACTCCTGTTCAGATACTCAGAGCAGCTTCTTTAATAGTGGCCAGAGATTAGACTTTGTTAATACCCACAGTGCAGGTTTGATGTCCTCTGCACCTCCACATCAAACCCTGGTCCAGGACACTTGGCAGTAACTCCCCCCAAAGAAGCCAGAGGTCATGTCTCTAGTCCCACATCTTCAGTGCTATAGGCATGAAATGGACTGCTCCAACCACCCACACGCATGAACAGCATCTGGTTTTAAAATCAACTCAAGACTTCAATCTGTGGGGTAATGTTGATGTCATTGTGATGTTTTTAATCATGACTCTAATGAATTCATTTGTAAGACATTTATAGGACGAACTACATTAGCCTCATGTCTTGAATAGGCAGTTTCCAGTGGAAGCACAGATAGTTAAATGTCAGATTTAAAATAGCCCACAAACAACTCATATCAATGGAAAAGCATGTATTTTTAGTTCAATGGACCCTATTTGTTAAGAACTTGTGTAGCTAAAGATAGACACTTCACTTTTATCTGAAAATGACTTCCTGGTGGAAAATGTGAGTTGATGGCATTTAGAAAATAAGACAAAGACTGTGAAGGATGCAGATGTGCTTTTGTACCTTGACACAATGAAACCTTAATGAGCTGAGTCTCAAGATGAACATGATCCTTTGGGCCACAATGGCTTGACAGGATTTTAGAGTCCAAAAATTGTATGAAACAATAAAAATCCCCCATTTATACAGAAAGGCATAAATGTGGTTTTATTACTGCTCATAACATTATATAGGAAAAAATGCATCTCTCTGTGTCAGGACCATTTAATTGTATTTATAAAGAGCTTGGTAGTTTGTAGTCCATCAAAACACACACAAAACAATCCTTATTAGTGCAACTGTTTGATGCAGTCTAAATGTATATATCATGATGCAGTCCAAGCCCAAGTTCAAAGAGGTGCATACAAGGTCTGGGATGTGTCTAATTAAAGCAGTGCATTGGATTTCCATATAGTGAGCTCTGCCAGATTCAGCCCACCACCACATCGCTGCAGGGTCATCATGGGAGATTAGGAATGAAGTTGTTGTACCATAAAGAAATATGTTGATTGCTTTGCCTGGACACAGGTCTGTCCTAGCCAAGCAAATTAAGTATGCTTTATGCTTGCCTAAAAGAAAGAGAATCCCAGGCTGTTCTTGGTATTAGCCCATAGAGCCAGAGAGCTATAATGAAGACACAATACTAGTGCAACGGACACGCAGCTCTGCTAGAGATGTCACGATACAACATTTTAGTGAGAAATAAACATCACAACATCATTATTCACAAATGACACCATTACTAAACAAAAGTAATATTGTTTAGTTTACGTTCATTCACTTTGCCAAGTATGTGACCATTCTTCTTTCGGAATGAAATAATAATGTGACATAAACAGCCAGATAGAAAAGCACTAGATTTGACTCTTTTGGATCATAGATTGAACTGAAATTTCTTATTTTAACTTCAAATGATTCTCACAATTATATTTTTTTAGTTTGTATGATTTGTATATTATGCCCAAAATAATCACAATTATCAAATTATCAAATAATCTTGACATTGAACGACTGCTCTATATGTTGAATATGTTCTACAAATGTATTACTTATCTGCTGCTTACTTAAAGAACCCATATTATGTTATTTTCTGATCTATGTTATAAAGTTGTTTCTGTGTTTCTTCCTTCTGCAAAACATACCCAGAGTTGTGTTTTCATTCACACATTTAACTCACAAACCCAGTATATTTAGAGTGTGTTCTTCTCTCAAAAAGCAAACACTCTTGCACCTTGTGATATAATGTGGCAATGCAGGAAGTGCTCCACTGTGTTTTTAAACTCCATACACCTTCACTAGAATTTTTTTCGATGATTTCAGCCCTGGAATTGTGCATCTCTACTGAACTAAAGGTAAAAGATAGCTGTTAACTTGAAAACTACCACTTCATGACACCACAACGTGGAACAGAGCATTTTGAGTTTTGGAGATATAGACAAACTAATAATAAAGGGTTACTCAAACATTTGTGAATGAACTAAAACACAACCCCTGGTATGTTTTGATGATGCAAAAACATTCTAACATATCCATTTAGCAAAATATAGCACCTTTAAGATTTGATAATATATTACCAAAGTATCAAAAGGTATAACACAACATGACTAAGTGGGGTTAATTTAATTGTGAATGATAAGTCTCGGCGTCCAATGTCCTTTTCCATGACAACAGTGGAAAAACGTGTCCAGCAGCAGCTCTGATAAACTACTGCCTCAACAACAGCCGATTCAGTCTATTTGAAGCAAAAGGGCAGCTGCAGATATGGACTATAAAAACTAAATTTGAGAATAGAGGCCTATCCAGCATGTCAACAGCTCCGGCTTTCTGTAACAGTTGGAAAACGTGTCCCAGGAAGAGTTCAGAAACAACATGGCCTGATGAATTAACACACTCCTAGTCGCATTATTGAGCTAACCTTTCTGTTTTACTCCCAGCAGCTTAGAGAAGGAATCCGAGGCATGCCTTTGTATTTCCCTTCTAGACAAAGTATCCCTGATTACTTGTGTTATGTCACTTTGCTGCACGCTGTCAGAAGACAAATTACATGGTGAGACAGCCAGAGAAATGGCTTTTGCATGTGGGAATGGGCTTTAGACATTGCATAGCGGTCACTGTAACACAACATCTGTTCAAAGAGATCATTTCAACAACTTTCTCTAAATAATTAGCATCAGCCCTTTGTTTCCGACTGAAACTCTAGAATGGAATTTTAATTACTTAAGCCTTTCGACTGAAATGTGATCCACAACAATAATTTCACTGTATATTTTGAGCAATGGTTCGCAAAATGGCAAAGACAGAAATACATGTCTAGAAATAAAAAGTAACCAGATTTAATATTTTAATACGCAATACGCAGTGATACAATGAGAGTCTTGTCTGACAATTGTACAGAATTAGGTACAGATATTGGAACTATCTAATCATTATTGATGATTACTTCTCTTTATCAAGTATTACTTCATAAATTGTTTAGTATCATACAAAAATAACACAAAGACATTTTCACTGAGCAAACTTATCCACCCAATTAAATATAATAATGATAATGGCTTGAAATAGATGTCAAGATTATTTGTTTAACTGGGATTGGTCAAGTCATAGAAGTCATGTCGTCTATACTCCCCAAAAAAGAAAACCTACATATAATATGCTTTTTATCTGTCCATTTTACACACAGATGGTGATCTTTTAGATAATGTAAATGAAAGTAGATTAAGGATTCACTGTTTTTAGGCCAGTAATCATGAATAGTTGTGAAACTGTATTTTTGTCCTGTCACAATATTTGTAACACCCAAACAATATTGTATTTTGTATTATCCCTAGTTGTGATTATGCTTTCCAAATTTGCCAAGCATCTAAATAATTTACAGTAAGCCATTATTTACTCCAACAGTTTGTGGTAAGTTACTGCCATAGATGCTTTGGGGTTGAGTTGTTGAACAACTGCTGCTAATGTGAGTCAGTGGCCTCCCCAAGCAACTCTAACTTCTTATTCACTGTAGTGTTGTCAAAAAAAAAAAGATGCCAGAATAGAAATCAACATTAAAACTAGTTTCAAAGCTAGATACTCGTTTGAAAAAGTCAGTACTGAAAAAAAATGTACAAAATGTGACCTTTATTGAATATTATAATGGTCTGTATCTGTATCATAACTTGTATAAGACCGCATTGTAATAGTAACTATTATTATCATCATTGTCATTTACCATCAGGCCTTTTTCTTAGTATTGAATTCAAGTTTGAAGTGTTAGTAATGTAACAACATTAACTACATTTCCAAAGGTAAAGTGGGTAGTGTCTTGCCCTGGGACACAACGGTAGAATGAGATAATCATGGAATCAATACGACCACGCATCTGTCTACCAACTGCCTAAGGCCACTGTCATTTCAAATATGGCCATGTAGCCAGAAAAAACATGCAAACACAACACTGACCGGGAAGAACAGTTTTAATAGTTTTATTCTAATTTGATGGGCAGTATGAATTTTGGTTTGCTGAAAGTTTGTTTCTTCATAGAAGTCACACAGTAAGCAAATAAAATTTTTTGTCAGCTAAATTCAACCAAAGTTAATCCTTAAAATAAAAGTGGTAATATCTCTTATTCATTAGAGGATCATCAAACTTCCTTTGAATGTCAAAAGTTGTTGATTCAGCACAACCCTGGGTAAATACACAGGCTATTCCGACCCTCGTGGCAATCCCTCCCTCGCATTAGAATTGGATAAGGAAGAACAAAGTTATTGTATTTAAAATGTTTCTCTTGAAATATATAATAATTGAATGTAAGTACTAATTTCTTTGAGATTTAATGACGTGAGCTGTCAACGCAGGTCACATCATTACCAGGTTATGTAAAGGAGATTTAAATAGACCGATAAAAGATGAAAATATTTACTGACGTGTAGCTGCATCTCATAAAAACACTGAACCACTGATAACTATTTAAGAGATTGTCCATACATTTAATTTGAAAATATTAATGTTTTGGGGAATGGAAGTTTACTCCTGTTCTTGTATATTTTGTCCAGTTCAGCAAAATATAAACATTCATATTAAGCAATCCAGCTTTTAATTATATTGCATCTTTGAAGCTTGATGAGGTAATATTTCACAAGAAAAGAAAAAAAGTTGCTATTTGCTGGCGTACATGTTGCGGTGTTGTTTTCTTGTTAAGCCAGGAATATGCCTTTAATTTTGTGTTGTGACTATGTAAATAAAGTTCAATTGAAAAGGATGTGTCCAAGCATGCACAGAAAAGTCCTCTGACGCTACATTACAAAACATTCGGGTAATGAATAATTTAAGGTAAGATATTTTAATTACAAAGGTGTGGTAGGTGATAGAGCATGATGTGGAGCATCTGGCGTAAGGAAGAAGCAGCCAACTCTTAACTTAAGGAACTAATGATTACCACCCTGAGTACGCACGCAATCGCACCAAACAGACATGAACTTGTCTTGTTTTTGTAGGCAAACAGCAAGATAAGATGGGTTGCTCACAAGAATTACAAAAGATCAAGGGAACTGCTGAATATTTGAGGTCAGACACATGCACTCTGTTATGCTGAAGCCAGATCTGATACTTCATGTTCTTTTTTTTTAATACAAAACATTAAAAAATCCTCAACTGTCTTACCTTATCCTTCTGCAGTAGTAGTGTGTTAGCACAAATGCATTTACAGGGTATACAAAGCCCTGGGTCATTCTAACCTAGGGCCAGAAAAGTCATGCAACATTCTTTTAAAGGTGTCAACTTACAGCCACAATGCACATAGCGATCAAAACTTTTAAGAGTCAGAAGGAAATCATCAGGTAACACTGCAAAAGCCCTATTTCCATAAATCAACACAATGAAATACTTAATGGTCAAAAATGAAAACACGTCATACTTAGTGAAAGGGCAATTACAGATGAGAATTACCTGCGGCGTGGTACTCTCTCTTAATTAATTGGGAAGAGTTTATGCTTTGCAAAAGCCAGCGTCATACTTAATCTTGCCATGGAGCAGGGGTTGGCAGTGATGGTTGACTGATAAAGGGCGCCTAACGAACCACAACTTAATGCTCATGGGCAAAATTACATACAATTACTTTTTGACACACCCATTACCCAAGGTTTGTTACATACATCACTGTGCTACTTAAGTAATGAAGCGACACAATCCAAACATTGCCCAGTTACGTTTGACAGCCTTTCACAAAATGCAGCCAACAAAATTAAACAAAACACAAAAGTGATAAATAGGTTTATAATCTCATCCATGGCCCGGACCACTTTTGCATCTAGAGCATTTACTCGATTGTCACGAAACAGTTCAAATTCAATTCTAATACTAAGGAAAAGGCCCAATACTAATTTCAATTACACAATAATAATAAACTTTCTTATTATTATTAAGATGTGGTCTTTTACTACTTCTGATACAGGTACCATCCTAAAACTATTCAGGTCCAGCTGTATATGATATTTGCATAATTTATCAATAGGATCTTTGTCGATTTTTTGACAACCTGGATATTAACCTCTGTTTATATCCGGGTTCAGCAACCCTAACTGCTGAATATTTGTGATACTGACGTATTTTAAAAATAAAATGAGAAGTTCAATGCCCTATGGTTACTGAGTAAACATTTAGTTTTGTCTATTTGAGCAATGAGCAATGCATTATTTACATGTCTTCATTATGCCGTAATTAAATAGAAGCTCAAGGAGTAGGCTGAAGAGGAAGCCCCAACACACTTATAAGTTTACATTGTCAACGCTAAAACAATTTGTACATTTTGTACATGAATCCAATACATTATACATTATTAGACAGCATATTTATGGAAAGTATCAGGATTTGGTCCTACAGCTGGATGCTACTGATCTCAAAGTGTTTATCACATGAAGATTTTAGTCGTAGTTTAGTCTTGATCTAGTCCTGATGGTACCACCTCATATTTTAACTCATATTTTATGAAGTGGTAAAACGTTTGTGAACCACTGAACTAGAAGCATTCTGAGAGCCATACGTAGATGGCAAAATATTATACTTTATCATCATACTAATATTTTATATAAACATAGAGAAACCCTCCAATAAACAAATCATTGTCAGTTAAAGCAGGACGAGTCACCACCCAGTTTCCCAACAGTGAAGTTCCAATGAAACAGGCCTCTCAAAGTAAAATTCATGCAAATGAATGCAAGTTATTTTCATAGTTTTCATAGTTGATTTTCATAGCTTTTTTTTTTATTATTATTAATGAAAGGTGTCAGTGGACTGCTTACAATGAAACTGGAAAGTTATATATACTATGATTAGTATTGGTCAATATTCTGTATGGAAAAAAAGTCTTGTGGAAAAAAACTAACGAACCATTTTGGATAGTCAGAGTAAATTCATCAATCCCCACACAAACATCATCTGATGTTAACCATGACATAAAAAAGTATGTCCCAATGGCCATACAATGAAATTAAAGATTTAACAAAAATCTAGCTATTTTGACAGAAAGTGGTTGTCAGTCAATTAATAATTTAGATAATCCTCTTTTTAGATGGAACATGTGTCCTGGATCATAATGGCTGGCAACATTTATTACTATATCTGATTCAATGTCTGAGGTTTTATAGGACCAGTTCTGATGACAGGCTTAAGGTTACTCTGACCAGTTATAAGTTACCATTAGTGTAGACATGACAGTATCACACATGTGTATGTCTTCATTTTGACCTATTTTACAATTTTGTTAATAATGTAATTTAAAATAATACTGTGCAGCTACTTCTCCTTATTTCTCTAATTACTGTGAGGAATAATTATTAATGTATTAAAGTGCTTATTGATAACCCATAAAGTACAATCTTCAAGAGTGGTATGGGGGGTGAATATACAGGGTACAAAATGGCTCCCAAGAAGCAGTGTAAAATTTGAGCCTGTATCTGATTTCTCACTATAAAAGCAGACCCACATGGTGGTAATGCTACTATTGTCTTTAAAGTGTTGGTGAAGTGGGGGCAGGGCTTCCCCATGACCTCAGGTCAAACTACAGTGACACGCTGCAGCATGTAGAAACCAATACTGAGCAAGCACATTACAGCACTCGGGAGGACCCATGCTATCCTAAACTGCCTCACAAAAATGCACATACTAGGTCAAGATAAGCACTAAACACTTCATTAAAATAATACTTCTCCTCATCAATAAAAAATAATAAAATCTTGTCATTGCTTTACACACACATTTTCTCCCAACTATTTCCAATATATTTGCTTTAACCATTTTTAAAGAAATGTTTAAGAATAACAAATATTTGAAACTCTTGAAAACTTTAGCACAGCTCCTTAGCCCTGTTGCTCTAAGGACTGCAGTTTGTCTTGGAGATCGTGAACACAAATCATTGTTATTATTGTGTGACTTCCTAAGCTGTCTTGCCAAAAACAGATGTGCCTCTACATGCTGTCCACATCAGGAAACCAATCCATGTGACAACCCGGCGGCAAGCTTTGACAAGCCAAGGGGATACTTAACTCTACACTTCCGTGACACATTTAAAATGACTCTATTTCTTTACATATGTAGACATAACTTTCAGTCTCACGTACTTAATGAGTACAGAATAAACTAGTAATGAGAGATTGACGTTTACCTGCTGTGGGATCACCATCCTTGTCCCTCTGTCCCTTCTTTGCCCCCTTCTTCTTTCCTTTCCTTTTTCCTCCGTTTTCTGACATGCTGTCAGATGAAAGTAAATCCTCTCAGGAACAAAATGCGATTCAAAAATGGTATTCCTATTGGAAACGTGTGGCAAGTGGGCACCACCAGACTCTGAGGCAGTTAGAGCGTCTCTCCTCCTATATAGACTCAATCAAGTATAGCGAGGAACCACCTCCTCACAGCAGGGCAGACGTAGAGGGGGAGGAGGGAGCCCGGGAGAGAGGGAGAGGGAGAGAAGAAGGTAGAGCTCAGGAAACGACAAGGGGAAAAGTGAGAGAATACACAGAGAGGGAGCAAGCAAAGGAGGCATTTCCCATTGCTTGGAGGCAATCAACTGTTCCCTTTAGTGGATCTATCAGATAAGGAGAGGCTCTTCCAGGCCCTGCAGCCCTGCTCTGGACTGACACAGACCAGTCCTGCAAAAACATACACAAAACGGCCGAGTTAGCCAACTGAAGCTCCATTTCAAAAGTTGTATGGCTTGTAATGATCCCAGCAAATAGCAGTGAGACCAGTTAAGCTTCCCCTGCACCACTGACCCCACCCAGATAGTGCAGGCGGAGACCTGCCCTTGCCAGGTTGATGTTAGGGTCCCAAAACTGTTCACATCTGGTTTAAATTTGCTGAGCACTGATTCTGGAGATATGAGCAAAACGAGTGAGTCTTTGGCCTCAGATGTGTATCTCTTGACAGTCAGCTCCCTAAAATGACACTAACCCGTCTGGTCTCTCCACTGCTCCCCCTTCTTCAGCTCTCTCATCGAGCCCTCCAAGAACTGGAGGCATGTCCCAGCTCGCCCCAAGCTGTCTCTTTCTTACCCTGTCACTGATAATTGTCACTATGTCTACAGGGCAATGCTATATGGATTTATTAACTTAACTTATTAGATTTTATCCAGAGGAAATGCAACAAATACACAACATCAGATCCTGGAGCTTTGCCATTAAGTAAAAAAATGTTTTTTTACCCATTTAGCTCGGGGACTTCTCAAAGTTAAACGCTAAGCCCAGTAATTCTTACAGTGACATTAATATGAAGTAAGACATAGGTCTATATTAATATGCACATGTTTATAGGTTAGAATTAATAAAAAGCAGCAAAAATATTAAACTCAAATAGTTTGAAGATATTTCTTAACCTGAAGATAGACATCTTTATTACAGACTCGTTGTCCAGAGTAAAAAAAACTAACAGCTCCCTCACACATTCAGGAGGGTCTGGGATCAAGGACATATTCTGATTAGTTTTTGTTTAGTCCAATTACAGTTGTTTACTTATCTTTTTTAAAATATTAAGTGCACTGGCAGAAGTTTGTACTGCAGAATCATATCTAAATGACACAACAGAAACACAAGAGTTACTCTCAGTGAAACCTCCAGAACAAAAGCTCCATGACTCATGAGCAGGGCCTAGAGATAGCTATGAGAGAGGGCATGTCGTCTCGGGTGGAGGCAGTGGAGGGCCAGCAGAGGGGTCATGTCTTAACAGGTCAGTGTGCTCAATAAAATAAGCTTCCTCTGTAAGCAAGAACACTAAAGGTCAGACAGGGGTCAATTAGGTCCGGTGCACTGCCATCTCTACTTCATATGAAATAATTGCTCTCTTCTCCAGGCCTCACAGTGGTTGTTCTCGATGAGCTAATCTGTCAGTACAGATAACTGACAACTGGCAGGGGCTACAGTGTCAGAGAGCTGCCCTATCCCCCCTCCATCTCCACACTCACTTCCTCCTCCACTCTCAGCAAGATGAGACTTGTTCCGTGAGCTTCGTGTGTTAGTGGGTGGGCAAGTGCTTTATGGATGTGTCAGAGAAACAACTATATGTTACGTCAGGCCATGAGAAATCTGACTTTCAGAACGATTTAGCAGCCTTAGTGCAACTCATTACATCTTTGGGTACTACGTCATCATTTCTGGAATGTATTCAAAAGTGTATTTGTTGTTTGTTACACAAAAACTGCATAAGTTTTGAGTGCGTACTCCAAGGCTGCACAGAATGAGACAGATGCACATTCACCTTGGTGATGAATTCTGGGAATTGTGGGCATTACCCCTGATTTTAATTTATTTTTTTCACATGAAAATGTCTCTTTATCTGGAGAGTGCCTGCAAACCTATGCTTTGCATATAAACTTCAACCTAGTCAGGTATTGAACCTGGATCTTCTTGTGATGGTGTGAGAGTGTAAATTATTATGCCACTTTGCCACCAGAAAAAAAAAATACAATATTTAAAAAACTTTTTTAAACTTTGGAAAAAGAACTGTAGTTCACACCAGGAAGTCACAAAAACTGCACACAAAACTATATTATGTTAAATACAATAAAGGATAAGCAAATGTAAACATCTTTTTTTACTCGAAAGCATCTGCTGTTTTTCAACAGCCATGTTTGGATTGTGGTGTGGGGGCGGAGGGCAGGGGGATCAGCGTGGGAGGAGCTCCACTTGAACAAATCCCCAAAAATGAAGCCTAACTTTGGTTCATGGATTGTCTCTGTGCCCTCCTCATAAATGCTTCACAGGTCCCATCTCCGCCTGCCTCCCAGAGCAGAAAAGACATTGTGTATGATGGAGCGGACACAACAGCATACCTGCACATCATCACGGTCATACAGCTGCCCTTTCACAGGCACCAACGTTTATCTTTTCAGACATAATGGGCTTAAACAGCCATTAGCTTATGCTGTTTAGATCTACAAGCATTTTTTGTGGCAGCGAAGTGCATCTGGGTGGGAGGGGCTAAAAGTCAACCCTGCTTTTAAAACATGTCTGTTGTTTTTACTTTGTGAGGAGAGGCAGGGGCAGGGGGAATGATGAGGACAAAACCTATACAAATGTAAAAGGATAAATAAATAAGGAAGATAACAAGCACAAATGAAATATTACAGGGTAGGGGACTGTAGAGAAACTTGACAGAGAACAGCCCCACCTGCTGATATCCTCATTTAACTGGAATCTGCATCCTCAGCTACTCAGCTGTATTGTTAATAAAAAACTCACAGAATTCTTCTCCTTTTTCTTCTCATCCAACAGATAAACAAACTAGAAGCATTGGAGAGCTGGTGGTGTAGGATGGACATGTATGCAGAGCAAGTGGTGTAAGGTGGACGTTTGTGGAGAGTTGATGGTGTAGGGTGTGTGTGTGCGTGCGTGCGTGTGTGCGTGCGTGTGTGTGTGTGCGTGCATGTGCGCGTGTGCGTGCTTGCGTGTGTGTGTGGGGCAAGCTGATGGGTGGACATGTGTGGAGAGCTGATGGTGTAATGTGTGTATGTGGTGTAGGATGGTGTAGTGTGTGTATGTGGCGAGCTGGTGGTATAGGGTGGCGTCGGGTGGGCATGTGAAGCTCCACAGTAAAAAGACTAATCAATGACAGTGACATCTGGAGGCCTCTGGAAGGGGCTTTTTCTCAAGGTCAGCTGTGCCAAGGTCAACTGAGATCCCAAATCTGAGTGTTACTAACAGCTCTGCTCAGCAACAGCTGTGTCCAGGAACACAGCTACAAAAAGCCCAAATCACATTCTCTGCCTCATTTACTCCGCAGTAAGTGCATAGATGCACTAAAATCATGGATGGTTATGGTATTGTACCATCTGCTAAAAACAGAAGTAATGTCAGATTTAAGCCTTAAACAAGAAAGTTATCCTGTGTGGATAGGTCTCTTTGACGTTTCCACAGCACATAACTATCGCCATGGCAACCATGGTCTTGAAGGTAGCAACTGGAGTTTGAGAGAGATGCGGAAAAGCAACTGAGGATGAGTGGCAGAGACGGTGAGAGCTAACATGTGTGAACTACTGTATGTGAAAGGAGACAGGTCTGCTGTAGCACTCTACAGCAAGGACCACAAGTGGACCTGTGCCAAGCCTGCTGGAAAACACTGCAGCATCTCTCAGACAAAGATGACAAACCGTTGTACTGAGCATGCTCCCCTCTCAAGGCCACTCACACAGTAAAATTAAATCTTTTTGATCTTGTTTTATACTATTTTGTAGGCAGGTGTCAGTGTTACACATGTCACTCAACAAGGGCTGCTTCTTGTGAGGCAGCCGTGTACTGACAGCAGTTAGGCTATGTGTCTTCTTTATCTGGCTGTCTTCCAGAGCAACCCCTATACATTTGTGTCAGACCTACAATTAAGTTTGCCTTGATTTATTTTTTCACTTTTTAAATGGGCTCCTGCAGCAGACAAACACACCCACTCAGAAATACAATAGTAGGAGTTTTCCTACCCACATTATAAACCATTTTTATAAACCACAGGGCACCAGCATGCACAGACTGTCTGTTGTAAGTAGTAGCTAAAACGGCAAACACTAACTTTTTGTGTAAATTTCTTTTCACTGAAAAAACAAGTAGTATTACCAGACAATATAAGTACCTCATAACAACAGGACATGTCTTATTGCTAAAATACTGAAATAGCACAAATATTTTAATGACAGATGCTGTCTGAGCATGACGTGAATGATCCTCTTAAACAAAAAGCCGCTCCATCTTCTTAAGACTGTCTGATTGAATCTCGTGGCATATTGCTTGGTTTTATTTTTCTGTCTTTGCTGGTTGTGTCTCGGGACAGATAAAGAGGTCTGTGTGACTGGGAGCAGATTGACTTTAAGATAGAGGATGAAGCAGATCTGGTCCACCTCCTCATTCAGCTCTCACAGTTTATCAAACACACACCCACATACAACCAGGCTTCACGCAAACACATAGTATGTGAGACAACAACATACACTCCATCTAAGTGTCCTGAGGCCCACTAGTTTACACTGTCACCCTGCAGTACAAACAGAACACGCAGGTGCATCCCTGTCTAAATACATGAGGCACAGGGGGCTGCATCTCTTTCAACAACTTGACCTTTTTCACATAAGGCATAAACAAATCCCCCATGAAGGCCTACTTTACTATGTACAAAATGGACCTCAAATGAATCATTCCAATGCTGTCCCACTGCATACATGTTTTTCTTAAAGAAACAAAAACAAAAAACAAACCTGATGCTGTCATCTTGTTGTCTGTACATGCACTTAGATGTGATGACGGCATACTTTAACTCTGTCTACATAAGATTAGAGATTATTTGGCATGCCAGGTAAGCCACATGACTGCATGAAAAAACATCACTAAAAG